CGCGCTTCCCGCCCCCACGAGGCCGGGGCGCCCGACTCCATGAGCGCGAAGCCCCCTCGCACACAAAAACGCCCCTAGAAACTTAAGCCCTTCGCCATTTTAAGTAGACGAGCTTAATGATTTGAAACTTGAAATTACACATTTTCTCCAGTCCCACACTAGGTAGGAATTAATTTGTTAGCCGGCCCCACACCGATCAGGGCCCCCCAGAAATACAACCTCGGAATACAGGGCTGGTGGGGAAGGGGTTGGGGGCTGAGTCATCTCACCTCCTCCGGGGCTCTGTTCCTTAACTCCAGGTTAATCCTCTTCTTCATCTCCATGTCCTCCTCCTGCTCTTCTGCTACTACTCTCCTTTCTCCTTTCCTGCTGTTCCCACTACCCCAACCCTAAAATTTTTGAAAATCCAGAAATGAATGAAAAGAATCGCAAATATAAACGCCCACTACCACCAGATAGGTGTGGGGGAGAAATAAAAGAACAGCAAATGGAGTCCACGGAGTTGGGACTCTTAACTCGTCTGCCCCCACCTCCTTGTCCACAGACCCGCGCGCGCACTCACACGCACGCACACACACACACGCACACACACACACACACACACACACACCCGCAGCTCCTTCCCCTTCAATGGCTTCTCAGAGACTGAGCCTCCATGACACGGCACCGCCAACCCCCTGGCCTACTCTCCACCCACCTCCCGAACGTATTGGTGGATTCTTTATCGTCGCACTATGCCATTGGGTTAGATAAGTGTCTATCAGCCTTCAGGGAGGACCTGGACTAGAAACTCTGTGCCTATTGGCTATGACCAAGCGCGCAGTTAACTCCGATAGGTCCATAAGGTTGTACGTCCCGGCGAAATGATTTTGAATCCCAGTAGCCCCCCTCCTTTTCTTTGTGTGGTTGGCGCGCTTTCCCCAGGCAGTAGGACGGTTTTGAAGTCTATTGGACTTGTTTTTGTTTGGGGGGTTTTGTTTGTTTTCCTGGTTTAGTGTCAAGGGGAGAGAGAAGGTATCATTCCTTGTCCAGGTACCATGCTGGTAACTCAGCTCCCATCACACACCAGCTCTTGGCCTCTGCTTTGCAGCCAAGGTGCGCAGCAGCGTTCACATCGCATGGCACGCGTGCCTCCGTGGCACTGCCCTGCTGGGGACCACGACCTCTCACAGGCTGGCCTTCCGCGGCGCAGAAGCAGAGCCGGGGAGAAAATGGTGTTTTAACTTCCACCATGAAAGACAACGACGTTTGTAAGCGGTTGGGTGAAGCCTGTAAGTTGGGGACCTTTAAATAAAACTATCCCGGAGGAACTGTTCCTGAGGAATTGTGGCCGACAATGAACACTGAGGCCTCAGGGGTAAAACAACGCTATCCTACTGAAAGTCAGACATTAATTCACATAGGAACCGTACAGAGATGCCTCTCCTTTCTAATTTCTTTGCTTGGTTTCCATAGAAATCTTTACATGCAGTGCGTTTTTTGTTATTTGTTTTTACCGTGGCAGTTTATTAAAGGTAGGGAAAAACAGAAGGGTAAGGGGAAAACGGGATCTGCAGAGCGAGTTTGGGCCAAGTAAAAAGGGAGGAAAAGCTAAAATACACCCTAGAGCCCAGTGCGCTTTTAAAAGCCTGACTTTGGGTTTTTCACCAGGGACTCCTTGCACCTCCATTCCTACTCCCACACCGAGAAACAAATAGGTTTACACTTAATAATAATATAAATCACAACACAGCCGGCCATGAGGGCACATGCCTGTAATCCCAGCACTTGGGAAGCTGAGGCAGGAAGATCACCGGAAGTTCAAGGCCAGCCTAGGCTAAAGAGTGAGAGAGCCTGTCTCCAAACCGTCCCCCACACCCCACCCCATATCTCTCTCTCTCTCTCTCTCTTTCTCTCTCTGTCTCACACACACACAGAGGCACAGACCTCTGGGAAACTTCTAAAGACTTAGTTTTGTTTGTTTTAGTGTAAACAATGATAATGGAAGCCAGTATGTTATGCAGATTTAGCCACAATAGAGTGAGAAACAGGTCAGATAAGAATTTAAAAGCCCAAGGGAATTAAAAAAAAAAAGGAGGAAGGGAAGGAAGTAGAGGAAGAGGAGTAGAAAAAGAGAAGAAGAGGAAGGAGAAGAAAGAGGAGGAAAAAAGTGGAAGAGGAAAAGAAGGAGCACATTTTAGTAATAGCCTGGGAACAAGTCCTGAATTCTGATTCTACAATGTGCCACTTTGAGTTCTGGAATGATATCCCAGAGAGTTTGGGGAAGGAGATTCCCTGATTGATTTAGGAATCACATGCCAGTGATGGCAGAAACCATGAGAAAAATAAGATGGCCACAGACCTCTACAGTAAGATTATCAGTCAAAGGAGAACAAAACACAGTGGAGGAGAAAAAGAAGGAGAAACTGTCTTCCAAAGAACTCAAGGAAACAGAATAGGTAGAGAAGAAAAAACAAAGAAGAGATAATTGTTGAGGTTGAATAGTAGGTTTTAAAGGATGGGAGGGGTAGCTTGGTGGTGCATCACCTTTATTCCTGGTACAGGAAATGGTAAATAAATGAGGGAGGAGTTAGGCTGGGCGTAGTGGCCCACGCCTGTAATCCCAGCAAGCCTGAGCTGCCTAGTGAGACCCTGCTCAAACTACCAAAAGAAAAAAAAAAAGTAAATTATGTAGGTTAAATGATAGGGCTTTTGGCAAGGCGTGGTGACACATGCCTGTAATCCCAGCACTCAGGAGGCTGAGGCAGGAGGATCGCTATGAGTTCGAGACCAGCCTGTGCTACACAGTGAGTTCCAGGTCAGTCTCACTACATAGTGAGACCCTGACTCAAAAAAAAAAAAACCCAAAAACAAACAAATTCAGTCCCAAGGCTAGAAGGGTGATAACTATTTGAAAAAAAAAGATAAACATATAAACATACAAGGGGGATATTGAAAGTCCCTACAGGGATGAATATACCCACCCCTAGCTGGTGGATAATCCTACCAGCAGACAGCCTTTACAAGTGACTCCCTTGGCTGAAGAAATCGTCTTGTTCAAGGTTACACCTCCCTCTGGGGTCCCCCACATCCAGTGATTAATCAACACAGACTTACAAAGGTCCAGCCTGCTATTTTGCCTCGACTAGTGGTGGTGAACCTATGGTACCCATGCCACAGCCTGCTATTCGTCGCTGAAACCTCCAGAAGGTTTGCCATCACTGGCCTAGACCTGCACAAACTCCGAAGGGTCATCCCAACTGCAGAGTGTACCCGGTCAACTGAAGCCTTGTTATGGCTGCACTCCTCCCTGTTTAAGGCTGCTTTTTTTTCCTCTTCCTTCTCCTCAGTATTGGTATCGCCCAATAATAAACGTCCTGAATGTTATTCCCGCCTCTCTGAAAACCTCAACAGGTGGCAGTGGCTCTCTCCAAATCCCAAACCTCTGGGAAAACCCAAACTAACCAGTTGGAGAGGGCACATGGAGAGGCCTTGAGAAGACTTGATGAGATTGACAGGTGCCCGACCAGTACCAGCTTCTCTGGCTCTCGCCTTTTCCAACTCCAGCCACATCTGACCATAACCACATGAGAGATCCTGAGTAAGAACCACCCAGCTGAGCCCATCCTAAATTCCTGGGCCACAGAACCCACGAGAGATTTTTAAAATTATCATCGTTGCTATAAGTATCTGAGTTTAGACCTGTTGTACAGTAACAGTACTTAGAACAACGCCCTGGCACAGGATTGCTTGGGATGAAGGCTCTAGTGCCCTTTTGTTCTGTGAGGTGAGAGGTTGCAGTCACTGCACTATTTTTGGTTTTGCGCATGCTATACTTCTAACTTAAAATGATGTTACTTTCTCCGGATTCTCAGCAATTAATAAAGGTTCTACTCGTTTAGCATTTATCCTATGCTGCCCTGCAGTATATTGAACGTGATAGTTGATTCTGGTTTGTCCCAAACATATTGGAATTTCCTGCAGAGAGACTACGACCACGTCACTACTTTGGGTCCTTCTGGAATTCCTCACGAGACTTGGCACAGTGCTGGCCCTATGCTGAGTACACGATGCATGTTTAATAACTGTACCCAGTGGTAGTGGCAAGTGCCTATAATCCCAGCACTCAGGAGACCGAGACAGGAAGATTGACATGAGTTCGAGGGCTACATAGTGAGTTCAAGGCCGACTTGGACAACATGGTGAGACCTTGTCTCAAAAAAAGAAAAAACCCAAATTTATAATTAGGGCTCAAATAACATTCAGTTAAATTCATACTCCCATTGGGAAATTTGTTAAAATCGGGTGATACTTTCTTGGCGAACATGTAATGAAGAAAGAGTTAAAGATAATTGAGAATTGCTCTTTCTCTTAACCTTTTTTTTTGGTTTTGTGAGACAGGGTCTCACTGTGTAGTTGAGACTGACCTGGAATTCACTACGTAGCCCAGGCTGGTCTCGAACTCAGCGATTCTCCTGCCTCAGCCTCCCGAGTGCTGGGATTACAGGCGTGTGCCACCACACCCGGTCTCTTAACCTTTTTTTTGAAGCAAAACATTTATTAGTATATTTTAGATATATGTAATGAAAATATTTATCATAAAGAATTTGCACCTGTACATGCTATTTCATGGTGCTTCTTTTTTTCCCATTCCTCTTCCTCCTTTGGACCCCTCTTCCCTTCCTCATTTACAGAAGCTTTGTTTCCATTTTCTGTTTCTATTCTCTTTTCTTCTTGTGCCTTATTTCCTTACCCCACCCCATCTTGTTCATTCCACTTCTCATTTGAACAGTTTCTTCCCATTTTCCAGCATCTCATATACATTTTGGGCCTCATTTGCATTTTTGGTTCTCACACCAGAAAAACGATGCCGTATTTAAATGTGTGTCTGATTTATCTCACTTAATATGCTCTCAAGGTGCATCCATTTAGGGAGAAAATTTTTCCCACACCGTGTGTTGTCTCTTCACTCTGTTGGTGGTTTCCCTTGCTGTGCAAAAGCTTTTTAATGAGAGGCGGTCCCAGCTGTTGATTCTTTGTAGTATTTCCCATGCAGTCTGGGTTTTGTTCAAGTCTTTGCCTACTCCTGTGTCCTCAAGCGTTCTACCTAATCTCTCTTGGAGCAGATTTAGAGTTTCTGTTTTAATATTTAGATCTCTGATCCATTTCAATTTCAGTTTAGTGCATGGTCAAAGATATGAGTCTAGTTTTAATCGTCAGCATGTAGAAAGCCAGTTTTTTTTTCAGGCCCATTTATTTAAAAGATTGTCTTTCCTCCAGTGAAAGTGTTTGGCTCCTTTGTCAAAGATAAGATAGCTGAGAATGTTTGGAATTGTTTCTGCATCTTCTAATCTGTTCCACTGATCTGCTGTTTTTATCAGAAACGTGCTGTTTTTATCACAGTTGCTTT